AATGTGCTCTACTATCATTTGAACAATCACAAGTGAAGTTACCCTATTTTGTCCGAAAAGTCAGGTTAAAGCCTATTTATGATAACCAGTCATAAGACTGAAGAAGGAGATAGCGCCTGATTGAGTAAGATACCCCACTTAGATCCTCCAAACAATACGGTTGATCAAACTCTATTAAAGGACGTTACAAATCCTTAATATCTGAAAAGTTAGGTTCAAGTCTATTGATGATAACCACCCCCTAATGCTGAAGAAGGAGATAGCACCAAACCAAGTAAGTTATTGCCCTACATAAAATAACCCATGAATCATTCAAAAATACGGATGATCAACTTCCAAATCAGTTAAAGCAACAACCCGCTTTAATCCTCCAAAAAGAGTCATTCTTGTAAATGACCTTGGTATTTGAACGGTCGGGTAAAAGCCTATTTATGATCACCAGCCGCCTAGTGCTGAAGAAGGAGATAGCGCCAAACCAAGTAAAGTATTGCCCTACGTGAATAGACCCGCTACGCGGGCCAGACCCAACAAATTGTCTGACTACCCTGGCAATCAGCTTCTTCATCAGTTCCTCTCCTGGATGACTGTGATATTGGAAATGTTGGTAAAAGCCTATTTATGATAACCAACCCAAGTGTTGAAGAAGGAGATAGCACCAAGCCTAGTACAATATCAACCTACATGATGGTCTGATTATTGGGACCTTTCAACAACAGTAACTTACCTCATCCTTTGATTCCTCCACGTGATTGTGGTAAACCACTTCTGAACCAAGGGATTGCCCGACAACCCTGGCAATCAGCTTCTTTATCAGTTCTTCCCATGGATGACTGTGATATTGGAAATGCTGGTAAAAGCCTATTTATGATAACCAACCTGAGTGTTGAAGAAGGAGATAGCACCAAGCCTAGTACAATATAAACCTACATGATGGTCTGATTATTTGGACTTTTCTACAAGGGAAACTTACCTCATCCTCAATTGCTCCACCTCCTAAGTGTACACCACCAATGTCTGGAATATACAGCCTGACTCCTACAACACCCTAAATGCACCCCACTCGTAGCAAACATCAGCTCAACACAACTGTTAATGTGTGTTACTACAAGACACCGTTGACCTGAACCTTATGCTGTTTTTCTGTTTTTTTTCTGATATGCCTATGCCCTATGCCCCTTTGTCTTTCTCCTGGATAATGCTGCAAAATACATCTAAGCCAACCACGCACACAAGATGTAACAGGAATTGTTCCATAGCTCCAAATCAAATAACCAATGAACCACCTATACATGCACCTCTCTAGATAACAGGTCACCAATGACCAAAATCAAATACGGTGACCAGTTAATGGTCATAGAATCCAAGTTGTAAGACTCCACCAAAAGTCTCAGCGCAGAGGTACTTTAACCCTCTGAGGGATAAGATACAAATTATTCCAAAAGCCACTTGAGAGGGCTTTATACTCTTGAGACTCAAATGCAGCTATGATAAATACACGCGTATACATAAGTTGTCCGGGATTGGGTGAAATGAGCCCCGGCTCCCTGTCAGTTGTGGAGGGACTGCACTTGAATAATGAATTACCTCCGCCAGGACTTGCTGCACCGTCACAGGGCGGTTCTGGGACTCATGCTACTGCGGAAACTGCACTCCTTGTTAATCCTGAAGGATGAGTTGTTGGTCAA